AATTAAATATTTTTTAAAAAATTTGATTTATGAATGTAATTGAAGTAAGTATAAATTAACTCCTAGTCCTATATTATCATTCATTGACTTTTGATCCCCATGGCGGTCATGTCAGCATCTAATTCATAGGTTTTTTTTTTTTTTGACAAACATCTAATACATAATTCACGCATCATTATTACTTTCAAACCAGCCATGTGTTAGGTTCAATATTAAATAAGTGGGCCCCTTAAATTCTAAAAAATAAACCACAGCTTATTTTAATGAGATTAAGACTTTTTATGAAATTTATATTCAATATAGTTAATAACTTAATATTGATATTAATATTTGTGATATTGATTTCTAGTGGAAACATAATAAAACCAACTTTAAAACAATAACAATAATAATAAAGTAAAAAATTATAGAGCAACGTATCTTTTTCAAATCTTCCTGTAAATCATCTCCGAGTTTGTGTAAATACACTGAACTCTTTAATTTAAACAATTTATACTTTTAAAAAATAAGGAAAAAATAACTTTTTTATTATAAAATTTTTAGGTGAGTTTGAGTTTCAAAAACTTACTAGAATCTATTTTCAAACTAAAAAAATATGTACCAAAATTGTCAATCAATTAATGGAGTTATTCAGTTAACAATAAGTATAAATCATTAACAATAATCTAGCAATAATTGACTATTTTGGTGGAGAACACGAGGCTTTAAAATTATCTTATAATTTGGATTGATTTTTCAGATTCGCGTAGGAATGATTTTCTAGCAGAGGAAATGGTGGGCCCGGGAGATGGCGAGAGCGGGAACAGTAGAGAAACCTTATCCGAAGAAACAAGACTCCTGAAGACTAAAAGAGTGATTGAAGTTAACATATCCACATTGAAGTCTTAGTCTCTCACTATTCCGTTCTTTGCCCCAAAGTTGCTCATTATTTCATTTTCTTCTTAATCGTGTATTGGCATGCACTATGTGGGCCACCGTCGTGCCACGTGGTCCCACCATCCACCGTCCATCGCAGCCTTGTTGTTTTGACGATGCATGACGTGACAGTGAGGGATGATGGGGATTTGGCACCCAAATACCATCAATCATTGCCTCAATGTCATTAGGATATGTTGTTATCTACTTATCTCTCTCTCTCTCAAGATTGAGGAATTTTTTCTTTCAACAAAAAATAGGAATTATGCCCTATTCATGCTCTACTCAATTTTAATCCTCTTGAGATGCTCTCGGGTATATTTTAGATGAAGTAAGGAAACAGAGAACCGATTTGTTATTATATTTTAAAAAAAAATTAATTTTTTCATCCTTTAATTTTTAATTCACTTGTAACTCAATTATTCAACTATGACTTGCTGCAACTCAGTCCCTCAACTATAACTCACTGCAACTCAATCCCTCAACTTTTGATTTATCTATAACTCGATCTTTATTTTTAAATTTTTTTATCAAATAAGAGGGATAAAAAAATGTTCATATATTATTTTAAAATATCCTCTTCTTATTCATTGATGTGAGATATAAGCTAATATGAAAAAAAATTAACAAAGGTTAAGGGACTAATTTGTAAGTGATTCAAAAGTTGAGGGATTGAGTCATAGAAGAGTTATAGTTGAAGGATTGAGTCACAGCAAGTCATAGTTAAGGGACTGAGTCACAAATGACTTAAAAGTTAGAGGATTAAAAGATTAATTTTTTCTTATATTTTTTATTTTATCACTTGATACTCTGAAAAATTATCATTTTTGCTCAAACTAATTGAAACTCTTGATATATGGGATTGTCATTCATTATCAATTGTAGTTTGATGGGCATCTCGATGATACCTTTAACATCTTTATTTATGTGATTATATATTTTATGACTCAAATTTGACATTTCAGAAAAACTTATTTATGATTATATAAAGTGTACAATAGAAATGGATCTTTTAATTTATCATCTTCCTCCTTCCTTTTTATTTAGACTTAATTGAATTCTATGTATGAAATTTAATCCCCAGCCATTTAACTGCGTCCTTGGTTTTTACTTGAATTAATCTACAAAAAGTAGTTAAAAAAACAGAGAGTAATTTTTAGGTGAGGATTCATTTTCATGATACTAGAAAGCCTCAAGTATTTTCCAATAAATTTGGATAGCAGCTCACGTTATTTATAATTTGTAAATAATGCAGTTTGTTATATATTATATTTTAAGTTTATTTATTTATATAAAATTGCAAAAAAATCACAATTATTTTGTCTTAATTGAGTTAGTTATAGTATACATCCATACATACTTGGTGCAAGTATGAGAAGGACAAGTAAACTTATGAGTAAATTAATGATTTTTTATGCTAACAAGATAACAAATTTTAATCACCCAACAATGCGCTTTTGTCCTCATGTAAGCAACATCGCCTGTGAAGATTATTTCCTCATGGAATGGACAGGACTGTAAACTAAAAATGGAAATTTTAATAGAATATTTATAATTTAGTGATTTAAAAATGTCGTTCAAGCAATATCAACCGATGTCATCATTTGAACTTGACTAGGTGGCATTGCTTTTAAAACTAGATTATTTGCAAGATAATACTTAAATTCTTATAAGCAATAAGAATGATCATTCCTAGAAATATATATAGATAACATTGTTTAAAAGAAGACAATTTCTTTGAAATTAGTTTCATAATTGTTGGTTGTATGATACTTTGAAAAAAAAATTATGAAAAGCATATCATATTTGTATATTTGAAATTATATAAAATGAATTACATCTCTTTAGCAATAAAAAAATTAAATTTATATGCTATTTAACAAATTCTATTATTCAACAAAGCCCATTTCACACAGGAATCAATGCAAGGGGAAAGGAACCGCAATTGTTAATCCAAAAAAAAAAAGAAAAAGGAACCGCAATTGTTTTATTTGAAATAACCGATAAGATAATAAAAATCAATATTCACTAATATTTGTGGTTTAATTTTTATCTAAATGTTAAAACATTTTCAAGAAAAAATAAAAAATAATTTTATCAAAAAATAAAAAAAATTTACATGTCTGTATGGTGACTTCATTATTATATAAAAATAATATTAAATGCATTGTTGTACATTTCTCTATGAAAATATAATTTCGGACGCCTATGTCGTGAGCCCACTGAGGCCCAAAACGGCTGGGCCAACTTAAACAGATAAAAAGCTGGCTTCATTTCAAAACCTCGAAGGTAAGCTTTTTAATTTTTTTAAGAAAAAAGTGGGCTATAACATGACATCTGAAAAAGTGCAAAAAAAAAAAAACCTCCTGGTCCTCCAGCACTGTAGCCATAACATGGCAGGTGACCCAAAAAAGAAGGGCCCCAAACAATCTAGCTATAACATGACATCTGAGGAGTGAGAAATCAATCTTCGTCCCCAAAAAACAAAAAAAAAAAAATTGATTCTTCTATGGCATGCATTATAGGTATGCTAATTTTATTATCACTGCTTTATCAAAATTTCACTGACATGTTAAATGTATGTTGATAACTCTCCCAATAAGTATATCAACCCTTTGTTAGCTGACATATTTAATGGGAGTCAGAATCCCAATTACTTTCAGTTTTTTGTATGGATTAAACTGTTACACGCACGCAGGCATGTTGACAAGCTCAGCATTTAATTAAATTACTCTTCTCGGTGCTATTAATTAAACTATAAAACTGTTAAAAAGGGCTTCTTTTCTATGATTTGTCTAGAAAATCAGACGTATTTATAGAAGCTTTAATTTAGTTTTCTTTAAAATATTTAGTGTTGGTTTATTAATTATCAGCTTTGCGTATGTTGTTAATTATTAGTTGATTGCAGTACTTCAGTGTTATGTTAGTAATAATAATTTTCACTAGAAGACCAATAAATATTGTAACCATTCAATTAAACATGAGATCTCATATTCAAGTTCATATAAACTGTACAAAACTTTGTTCACTTGTTGATATATATAAATAATATCAATGATATTATTTAAAAAAAATTGAAAAAGAGAATGAGTTTGACTAATCAAATAAAGGTTATTAGAGTATTATTTACTTTTCTATTGTATTTTCTAATGTTTACTCCTTCCAATTTTATTTGTATGGCAGAGAGATGATTTTTTCTATTTTATTTATAAATCACCTTATAAAATTTATTACTAATTTTTCTATTTTACCTTAAAAAATATGTTATTAAAGTATATATATTTAATATAAATAAAGTTAAAAATAATTAAATTTCTAGATAGAGTTAATAAGTTTTAATATTTTTATTGATTTCAATGAAACATATTAAAAATGCATTATAAATAGAATTAGAGGAGTGTTAATTCTCAATCAATAAGGAAAGAATAAGAGCCAAGTCATCTAAATTAACTTGACATTAACGATGAATTAAATAGAAAATGTATAATACTACTAATACTATTACTAATCATTGAACCTTGATTCAACGCTTAATTATAATTATGTCTCATGAATCATATATTTTGGTCTTCAAAAGTGGAGGAAATTGTCACTGGACCATATAGATTGATTTTAAAGCAAATTGGTGCCGTCTAAAACACCTTTTGAAACGCGCGCGCGCATACACACTTTTGATGTTTTAAATAACCTGGAGGTTATACATACATGCATATTCTAGCTAGATATTCAAGTTCTTCCTAATCGATCATATGATGACACCAGGGAACACACATCATAAGGCTTCACATATCTGTCTAATGCTTAACAGATTTTCAGCTCTCTTAATTCCTCGTTTTCATTATTGTTCACACATGTATAGCCACAAACCTCGGAAAATTGTCTCCTGTCTTTGTAACTTCTATAATTAAAAATGACACCTGCCATGGGTCTGTCTTTTCTGGATTTTCTCACAGGTAAGGACAACAAGCAGAACAGGGAGAAAAAAAAAGGTACATATTAAATGTTCATTGTAGAGAGAGAGAGAGAGAGAGAGAGAGAGAGGAAGCGATGGGAAATAATTGATAATTAACTAGCAGATGCAAAAAGAAGCAAATTAAAATTATGTTATATATGTATATATGTAATGTATATAATGAAAATGAAGGGGTGGATTACAAGAAATTGATTAACACTCAAATGATAAGGGGCACATATAACAAGTGATGAAGAAGAAATAATAATGAGATAGAGTTTGGTTCTGCAAGGAGCTTAAAAATTAATTCCCAAGTATAACACAGACTTTCAAGCGTGGCATGCCATGCCATGCATCCATGTGTGAAACAGCTAGAGAGAGAGAGAGAGATCATAAAGACAGCTTCCCAATAGATTCATTGCGCCTTGCAAGCAAATCGATGAGCAACTCATTCCAGTTTCATTATAATCTGATACACCTACCAATTCATCCTGTCAGAATAATTATAAGCACCGATCACTTCTCTGTCTAATTATTAAATGAGGCCAACTATCATCAGTCCATGCTCGTACGCTTAACATTATACTATATATATGCTTCACGCACACATGTTAGCCTATAATTCCCAGCAGGCATTGTATGCCACCGAGTAAATATCGTATCCAGGAAACTTATTATTAAGTACGTGTTTGGTTGTTGAGTCTAGCTAGCTAGGAATTGGTGCATTTCTTCTGCATCTAAAGTGCTACTCTTGATATGAAAGAATAACAAGGGAATAATAGGGATTGCTTGAGTAGAGTTTGAGTAAATTAAGAAGGAACTCTTAATCAATAAATTTAACAAGTAAATTTCATTATTTTTTTCCAGTCGAGTTTCCGGGGAAATGTTAGAAGAACCATGGTGCCAAAGTACAGCAATATATCTAATAATTAATTATCTTCAACTAAGCAACGAAAGTGCATAATTAATCATGTTTACATGCATTGTTTCAGGTGATCAATTCTTTCAAAGTTTGAATAGATTTCTCGGACGAAGGCCAATCTTATAAGGTATATATGAATAAATTTGAAAGAACATGGGTGGTTCATGCGCGAGCACCCTTAAAGAACTAGCATGTATATATGAAAAGTCTTGTCATTTTACTTCACCAAGATCAAATCTGAAATATATGAAGAATATATATGTACACTAGACTTTGACTTAGTAAATAGAGATAGATTAGTAAAGCTATAAGCGTCTATCCTGATCGTAATAAAACAAAGCTATGTTAAAGACCATACAAGAGCAGGGAATTTAACCCCTAGGATTACGTTATTTAAGAAAGAATTTTCTAGCACCCAAGTGATAAAAAGAAAATAAAACATCTTCCTGTAGCTATATATGATGAGCACTCTATACTAATTAAACAGTTGGGCACTACTTCAGGTTTTTAAAAGTGTGTAAAGGAAGGGCCAAAACAAGAGGGAGGAAAAAAAAAGAGGCTTCCGTGGGGGGAGGAGGGGAGAGGCAGGCATGAAGCATGCATGTTTAAACCCAAATGACAGATTAAGCATCTTTGAGATAAGGGAACAAAAGAGAATGTGATATACTTTAAACTATTTCAGATTCCCAGCACAAAAACTGCTGAGTAAAAAAGTGTGTGCGTGGTACTTTGGTTCTCGAATACAAACAAAGCAAAAACCCTAAATAGGGCCTCCGGCCCTCAGCTAACCGACAGTACTGATGTAATATTCCCTTATTGATATTTCCTATAAACTACACATGATTTTTGTATCCATATTATTATTATGTTAAGCTTTTGCACCACACAAGTGTTGTACGTTGCTCAATAATCCAGACACACACACGTATATTTATGTACAAGTTTTGACAGCTTCATTGATCAGTAGACTAAATCACTTCAGACAAATTAAACCACCATTAAATCCATCAACTTGATTTAATATTCAACACACACACACACACACAAGAACGAGTCTCATATATATATATATATATATATTCCAACTGGTATTTGAAGTTCTATATATAGCCGACAAGATCATGTGAGATGATGGGAAGCACAAGGCTCAAGCATTTGCCTAACCAAACATCAGTTTGATTTCCCCTCAAATTTTTATGTATTGATTAATATTGTACTTATAATTATTATAATCACACCCTTGAAAATAAATGGCACTTTCATGAAGAGAATAAAACTACTGTGTCCCACAGAATCAGATGTTAGACGACACGCAAAATCTAATTGAAGGTACAAGCAGGGTGAAATATAAAGAAGCACAGTGGAGAAAAAGGAACACAAATTTCAAAATACACGAAAGATTGCTGTAAGTGGGACATGATAGCTAAGATTTGAGAGTGGGAATAGTTAAGGTTATTTTGAGAGTAAGAATAGTTAACGTTAAGGTTAACTGATTAACAAGGCCTCTAATATTTAATTAGCATCATCAGGTTTCTCTCCAACATCCTTCCGAAAGATTCCATTCAATCATGACTTTGTTAGTATAAAATGGTGACTTTGGAAAACCCTCGCAAAAAGCATGCATTTTTAACAATTTTATATTTGGTAACATGATTTTTAAGAAACCTCAAACCTTAATTAATCAAGTGCTTTCAATGATTTGTTTATTTTGATGCTGAGTCACTTGAGAAAGTGTAAGATATGCTACTTAATTATTCATGGGACAAAAAATCTGCAGAATCTTAGAAAGGCCAAATTAGGGGAAAGTGTTCGATGGCGAATATTTAATTGATATACTGCCACAAATCAGTGCTTTTCTGCACAATCAGTAGTGCCTATCTATTAATTAGTGCCAATTACATCTTATGCTTTAATTCTGACAACTATTAGCTTAACGGCACAAAGTGATCACAAGTGGAATTTTTGTTTTTCTCAGTACATCAGCTATATATATTTGCTTCCCCTTTTTCATTTTTGACTACCAATGCAACACACCTGCTTTATAATCAACTAAAAATTGTCACTAACTTCAATTTCATTCCTTGTGATTTAGTTATATATCTCTTATTGTTAATTAATAAAGCCAAAAATCAATAAAACGTAACATCTAAAATCAACTAGTCTTTCATGAAACAAACAATATAATACAACTAATCATCCAAGTATAAACACAGTACAGCCAAACATTAAATTATAAACATATAACAGAAGAGTTCTTGAAACATTCAAGGGTTCTCTCATCAATTTAGTTCTCAGACAACTAGTACAATCTGACAGCAAGTTTCCTTTTGAAAAAAAATCATCCATCGATGTGATCTTTTCAGTGAACTGAATTCAGTTGATATATAGTTATTAAGAGAAGTGATCGAGAGACCGAATTAAAGAGATAATCATCAAATCATGAATCAAGAAAATCATATATAGTTAAGAGAAGTGATCGAGAGACTGAATTAAAGAGATAATCATCAAATCATCAATCAAGACAAAAGCGAAAAACTAAGTAATTACCATACTTAAGGAAGCTGAATCATCAAAGGGGATGGAGGAATCAATCAATTAGAGAAGTGCAAGGTAGAAGAAGATTCATGATCAGTAGTCCCCTTGGTTTGATTTGTAGCAGAAACAGTCTTCTTCTTCTTCTTGTAAGGGATGCCTCTAGCCTTAGCCTGACACTCTCTGACCTCTCTAAGGTACACCCTTATGGAGCCACTAGCAAAAGGGTTGGTCTCAGGGGTACCACCATTTTCCTCATAGGCAGCCCTGAGCCTGCCTATGAGAGCATCCAGGCTACCCCAGGCTTGCCGGAGAGGGCATGTGCACGGTGCCGGCGGCTCTGGCTGGCCATAGAACATGCAACCTTGGAGGTGAACCTTAGTCTTGCCGAACTGGTCCAGATAGCGAAGGAAGTCCAACACATGGTTGCAATTGCACTGAGATAAAGCCACTGGAGGCCTCTGGTTCTTGAGGTACTGCCCGAATGTGTTCCAATCCCTTCTCTTTTGGGACTCATAGCGGCTCAGTGTAGGGCTCGAGGAAGAAGACGATCCTTCTGCTGTTAAATCCATGCCACTACTAGACATGTTAGTTCTTGGGGGTATCACTGATATGCGAATAATGAAGTAAGATCGATCAGGAAGATTTGTTTGTCACTGTTTGTTTGTAGAGAGGTGAAAGGTGAAAGGAATAGGAGAGTGGGGAAGAGGAGGAGGAGGAGGAGGAGGAGAAAGAGTGAGGAAGACGGAGATCACTGCGTCACTGGGCTAGCTAACACTGAGTAGACATGAGATGGGCCACGTCAGTTGCTTTCTCTTCATCTTTTTTCTTATATACTTCTTTAATGGCATTTTCATTATTATTAAGTATTCCTCAGTATCAAAATATAAGCACATTTTAATCACTGACGGTTTAACAAAATTGCTTAAACATATATAATTATGTTTTAAATTGAAAATTTTAGACTAAATTACTCTCATAATTAATGAAACAAAATTGTTTCGTGAAAATAAATTTTGATTTTATATGAGGAGTAATGTTTTTTGAAAAAATATCATTAATATTTTTTGAATTTTGTAATTTTATTTATAAAAAAAACAATGAAATATGTGACAGTTTCTCATATAATATAATTAAAAAAAGGTCTCCCACCTCCCTCTTCCTCTTGTAGGAGTACAATTATTGCTGTTTGCCCTTAAATTGTAAACATGTTTTTGGGATAATCAAAAGCATGTTTGCTCATTTTTAGTTTAGGCACTTCTATTATAAATCAAGGATTCAAGTCCAAATTTGCTCTCGAAGTATCATGCCAAGGGTGTCTAGCATTTTTAACTAATGAAAGGGTCAATGTTTTCCCCAATTTTTAAAAGAGAGCAATGTGTCCAATTTTGATAGACTCAAACAGTTCACTTTTAGTTGACTTGACTATACGTATGTGGCATACCACATGGACATCTACCTCTTTTTTTTTTTTTTTTAACTTTGTTGGCGATGCCTATAGGGCTGTGTGAAGGAGTTTTGAGACCTAAGGCAAATTCTTTACCAGGCATGATGTATTACTCCTTTCAATTTTTACTGTAGGACATTTTCTAAAAAAGTTCTTTAGTCCTTAATATAAGATACATGGAAGATCACTTATTATCATTTTTTAATTTTATCTCTATTATAAATTTAATTTTATGGCTCATCGTATATAGTGCATATCTCCATTCTTATTTTTAATAGGGTAAAGTTGAAATTCTTTTTTTTTCTAAGACATATTAAATGAGTTAATTGCCATTCCTTGGTTTCAGTGAAGTTGTTGAAAGCACCTAATGAGGACCGATGGAAGTATTATTTATATCTATCTTCATATCACTTTTATTAATGACTTGTTATATAGAATATAAGGAAGTAATACATTCTAAATGTAAATATATAATTAACATTAATGCTTAACGAAAAAATAATAATAGTCATAAAGGGTATAAGTGACCATTTTCTGAGGCTTATGGCAACCGCTTTAATTGCCTAAGGGCACACCGGCCTTGAATGCCTGTGTGGCATCCAAAGTAAGAAGCTCTTGCTAAAGTGAAAAAATTTAGTTTAGTGAAGAAGAACTTAAAATGCATATCTAAGGTTCGCTCCTTTAGATGCTTCAAGTCAGATACTTTAATCCTTCTTCGAATCCGGTGCCTTTGATAATTTCTCTTCCACACCCTTCTCTCTTTATCTATGAAACAACCCCATCTCCTCCTCCATTACTAATTTTAGCAAGTGGAGCTCTGATTATATTGAAGGGTATTTCAACTATTTCTTGGCTTTGCTTTATCTCTTTAATGCAATATCTCCCCCCTCTCTCATGTCGGTCGATCTCGGCTTTCATTGTCTTTTGGGTTAATTAAGTTCAAGAAATCGGCTTCTTCTAGGGAAAGTTACCCGAAAGGAATTGAAATTGGGTCTGGTAAGAACAAGAATAGCCCCAATTTAAAGGGTAAATTTTGCAATGGAACTGACAAATCAAAGGGCTTCTTTGACAGAGAGGGTTCTCGTAGAAGCTATTCAAGAACTAAGAATTGTTGGATTCTTGGTGATCTTCTCGTTACTTCATAATTTGAAAATGACGAAAAAAGAAGAGATGCTCAATGGGATAAAATTTTGTGTAGACACGTTGCACGGTGTGCAGGGTGCTTTGCTTTCTAAAGGTAGAAGCCCTTCTAACCTCCTCTTCCTCATCGGTGGTGGTGCTTCCTTCATTTTCATCTCATCTTTAATGTAATATTAGCTTAGATTTTTTAGGTTGTTTGAGATATCAATGTTAAGCCACTAAAGTTTGTAAGATCAAATTTGTTGAAGCTATTTTTTATTGTTGGGTTTGGCTGTTCTGATTTTTAAGGGATCTATCATTTTTAAATCTACTCCGCTGTAAATCTCCAAGTTGGAGCTTGAGATGACTCTTTCAGCTACGGCAGTGGTAATGATGATCCTCGCTTGGTCTAAATCTAGACTCAAATAAGAAGTTTTTTTATGATATAAATCTATGTTTTAACCAAAGGAAAAAGTGACGTGGCAAATAGCTCAGCTTTATCATGTTAAAATAATTTCTCCCATAATCAATAGTTTGAATCTATCAAAATTGGGCAACATTGCCCCTTTTGTTAATTAAGGATGTTGGATGCCCCAGCGTGATACTTTGAGGATAAATATTTCCCTTTATTGAGTTCTTATTTGAATATCACAACTAATCAAGATTCTTTCCCATCAATTATGCGGACTTGAAATTTTTTTTTTGACAAACTCTCACTACAAAAAAAAATTGTTTAGAGATGCACTATAATCCATCTCTAACTAGTGAAAAATCCTTTTTTAAATAAGTAGAGATGAATTTAAAGACGAATATAGTAGTATTTTAAAAAGTTGCATCGTTAAATAATTAGAGATGAATTTTTAAGCTATCGTTGATTAGAGATGAATTTATTTTATCTTAAAATAAAAAATGTCGTCTCTAATTTTCATGAAAAATCTATTGCTATAAAATACTCCAAAAATGATAGAGATGAAATAAAATAATATCTAAATCTGTCGTTAAAAAATAAAAATTAAATTTCTTAGGTCTCTACTGCTATGTCAGTGCCACATCACTTGACACCTCACCAACCATGTGAGCATCTCCACGTGCCAACTCATATGCCCATGTGTAGGTCAACTAATGTCATGTCACATATCATGTCACCACCTCATGCCATGTCAACCGCCACCACCTGCCACATCACATATTTATTATAAAATATATCAAAGCTAAGATTTTATCCCCTCACCTCCTACTTTTCAAGCCTTAGGTCATCCTTCTTTGCCAGTTGAATTGAAATACACTTACAGATATTCTACAAAAAATTAAATATATGTTACTTAACTACATTCACATATATAAAATAATATATTATTAAAAATATATGCACATATTTATTTTATTTTTCAATTGTTAATGTGATAAAATTATTTATATGACTATTTATATTATATTTTTGACAAAATGTTATTTTATTAAGAAAATGAACTTAAAATGAAACACATTTTTAATATTAAAATATTATTTTTAAATGAAAATAATTAAGTATATAATTTTTTTATTTAAAAATATATATCATTTGAGTTTATATTAAATCTTTTTTAATTTTCTTTTCTCCATATTATTCTCAAAAATTAATAAATAAATAATTATCTTTTAATATTCTCCTAAAATGGTTAAATATTTTCCATTATTTTCTGACAAATAAATTTTATCTGTAATTTTTCAATTAATTTTTAAAATTTTTTAAAAAAATAATTATGACCATATAATTTTTTTAATTGTCATTTTGAAACTTTTTTAATTTTTTAATGAATTCTAATAAATTTTGAATACAATTAGATATTTAATTTAAACATATTCATATAATTTTTTTTATTTAAAAATTATTTTTTATCAAATTTAAAATTTAAAATCTTATAAATATGTTATATATATATAATATATATATATATTAATACATACTTCCTTTTATCATAAATTAGATATTATTTTATTTATATAATTTTAAGTTATACTATATAATCAATAAAATAATTTATTTTCTTATATACTCCAAAAAAATTATTTTCTCCTTCCTATGCTGAAAATGAACATTAGCATAAAATGATACTTTGCATTAAATAATTGATTCTAGTTGTATAAATTTATTTATAGTCATTTTAAATGTATTTTTATTAATTCTTCTTAATATTCAATTTCATAGATATTTTGAAGTTTTAATTTTATTTTCTTATTTTAATGTGTTGTTATAAAATATTGTTAGCGACTTCTTTCAAAAGAACTTTATTATTTGTCTTTATTTTGAATTAGAGACACATTGAGAAGTAAAAATAATTTCATCTCTAATATATTTATTTCAATCATCTCTAATTTCATCTCTAAATTAATAAAATAAAATTATGAAATTTTAAAGAAATATAGAGAGAGAATTAGAGATGGTTAAATTTTTGTCTTTAAATTTATAAAAAAATATGTCTCAACTTCAGTCTCTAAATTTAAAAAAATATAATTAATATTAAAGATAGATTTGAAAATGACTAGTTTAGGGATAAAATTTATTTGTCTGTAAACTTGTCTCTAACATTTTAATTTTTAAAAATTAAATTTTTAATGAATAATGACAGAAGTCGAGATGGATTTTGTGATTCATTTTTTAGAGACATATATAAATCATCTCTAATATGTATCTATATTTTACAATATTTTTTAAAATTAAATCCGTCTTTAAAAATATAACTAGTTTTTAGTTTTATCTCTATTAGAGACAATAATTAGGCTGTCTTTAATTTTTATCTCTATTTTAATATTTTTTTGTACTGTCTCCATCTTTCTCCTTATGTTCTCTATAATTTTATATATTTGACAAAAATGTATATTTAGTCTTTTAATTTTACATTAATTTTATTTTGATCTTTTATAAAGCATCTACTCAATCTTTTAATTTCATTCTAACATTGTGAGTTTTCTTAACAAAATTGTTGAGATTGAACTTTTAAATGTTGAGGAAATGCGATCTTTTATTCCGTCTTTATTACTTCAATCCATGTGAAGCCAACGTAGCCACCGAAATAAAGAGGCAATTATCTTATATAAAGAGTTTCTTTGATTTATATCATTGCGGATTTTTAGGTGAACTTTCCCAATCTCTTCAATCTTTTGTTTCTCAAATAATTCTTCCCCACAACATATATTGATGGAACGAAGTCTCCTTCAGTGTGGAGTATCAAACAAGTTA